AACCCCGAAGAAATACCAAAAACCCTACACCATACACCCTTAACCTGGAAGCCCTAAACCCCATGGATCCTAAACCCTAGACACCCTGAACCCTATCAACCTTAAATCCAACAAACCTCATAGGGTCCTTAAGGGAGAGCGGCTCATGGGAGGTAGGTACCTATACTCCCTATTAAGGACTGTTAGCATAGGGGGAGCATACCAAGAATTGTATATATGTATATCTATATCTACATATATATGTATATATATATATATATGCGTATACCTTTTTTTATTGGGGGGGTTCTTAAGCAAGGAAGCACATAGTAGAGAAGGACCCGGCCAGCTCGCGAGACATTCAGCTCCCCGGCGTGGCAACCGACTAACCACGCTTTTGTTAGCATGACGTTGCGGTTCAGAAAGTTTCGGGTTTAGGGTTTGGGGTCGGGGGTTTAGGTTTTAAGGTCTCTAGGACTGTGGGTGTACGGCTTTGCGGTTTCGGGCTTAGGTTGGGGGAACGGGGGTCGTGCCGGCTTGTTGTTGCGTTGTCGGCCTTCCGCTACTTCATTGGGGTAGTCCTCTAAGTTAGGATCCCTTCCGCAAGTCCCTATGTAGTACGGCACCCTTTAAACGACCAAAAGGGGATTCTAATGTAGATACGTACCCATGGTTATTGCTATCGCGATGGTTCATTGTTATTGCTTGCGCGATCAGTAGTATTCACGTTGTTGCTATCGTAAAACAATGCGTGCGATGTCAGAACTACGATCACTAGCACGAGTTTTCTTTGTGCTGATTACATTGCTTTATTGTGTATGATCGCTATTTGCTCATGGCCGTTTACATGTTTGTTCTGATTGTTTTGAGTGGTGCTGGGCGTCCCGTGTCAGCTTTCATTCTCAGCTTGACCCGCAACCCTGACGAAGTCTACCGGCCTCAGGTTAGAAGCCAACTTTCCGCCGGAGGAGCTTGGATTCGGATGCTGTTGGGCTGAGTTTTGGGATGTTGTGGGCTTTTGGGCCCGTCAAATCAGGTATGGGAACCTTATATGAACCCGAAGCCGAACCCATCTAGTAAACCCTGAACCCTAAACCCTAAACCCTAAACCCTAAACCCTAAACCCTAAACCCTACGATGCCATCGAGTGAGGACTTCCAGCTTGGCGTCGTGGTCGGCGAGAGTGGCAGCGGAGCCGCTTGGGAGATGACAAGGGCTCCGGATCTGTATACGCTGTTCTTTTGGGTTTAGGGTTTAGGGTTTAGGGTTTAGAGTTTAGGGTTTAGGGTTTAGGGTTTAGGGTTTAGGGTTTAGGATTAGGGTTTTAAGGCTTAGTGTTTCGGGTTTCTAGGGCCCAGGGCAGTCCCTTAGTTAGTCGCATTCGTTTGGGGGGTTTGAGTTTGGGGTCTAAGGGCTTAGGGGTAAGGTACCCTAAACCCTAAGCCCTAAACCCTAAGCCCTAAACCCTAAACCCTAAACCCTAAACCCTAAACCCTAAACCCTAAACCCTAAACCCTAAACCCTAAACCCTAAACCCAAGTTATAATTTCCCCGAAACAACTCAGAGGGTTCCCTTGAAGAAGACTGGGGCCTGCGCCTTCCAAGCCTAAATTGTACTGCTTTGTCGTGTTTTCCTTGCGCAGCTCCTAGCTCCCAGGTTTAGGGTTCAGGGTTGAGGGTTTAGGGTTTAGGGTTTTGGGGTTTGGGGTTTAGGGTTTCGGTTAGTTCCCATGGCTTTGGAAATAGGCTTCCGAATATTTAGCTCGTCCAAATTTTAGGAAAGACCTGTTTGCCTCATACTCGTACATAATTGTGCCCACTGGGAGTCATTGCTTAGCAGTCATTGCTTATTGCTTGCTGTCATGTGCTTCTACCTGTCACATTCATATTACTCTTTGCCATGGGCTAGGAATGCTGTCGACACATCGCAATGGACGACTCGGAATGCTGAACGCCTCTTCCTCGCCCGACTGAACCCCCGCCAACGCTCCCGCGGAGGGGACTAAACCCCAAACCCCAAACCCTAAACCCTAAACCCTAAAACCCTAAAACCCTTAATCCCACTCTAAACCCTAAACCCTGAACCCTGAACCCTGAACCCCCGACGTCTGTCGGAGCCCAGGTTACGTCGCTTCTCTGCCGGCTGGCCCAGCATGGCCATGAGGAAGGTGGGCCGTTGGAAAGTCGTCCAATGCTTGGGGGCCAGGATGTTCTGTTTGGGGTTTGGGGTTTGGGGTTGGGGGTTGGGGGTTGGGGGTTGGGGGTTGGGGGTTGGGGGTCTGGGGAGTCGGATGTACGGTCTAGGGATTAGGAATTTGTTCTCTTTTCTTCTTTGGGGGGGGGAGGGGGGTGGCTTTTTGGAGGTCTTAGGGTCACCAAAACTAAGAAGGGCCCGACGTTTCAACCACGCGCTGGGTGATTCTTCCAATTCCTCTGCTGCTGCTTATAGGGTTCAGGGTTCAGGGTCTAGGGTTTACGGTTTGGGGTTTAAGGGTCCTTTTGAGACAACTTTGAAACAGCC